TCATTGGTGGGTGTGTGTGACGTCATTGGTGGGTGGGCGTGACGTCATTCGTGGACACGTGTGACGTCATTGGTGGGTGGGCGTGACGTCATTGGTGGACCCGTGTGACGTCATTGGTGTGTGTGACATCACCACGTCAATTTATGATGTCATCGCGTAGATTTCGGGCTCTTTTTTTGCCTTTTGGGGCGTTTTTATTTCCTTTTTTCCCCATTTCTTTTCCCCCCCTTTCCCGCGGCTCCCGGAATTCCCGCGGATCCCGGGAAAATTCCCGCTCCTGGAATTCCAGCCGGGAAACCTCCACCACCCCGCACACCCTCTGGATTTAGGAGGTTTTGGGGGCTTTTTTGGGTGGGTTTTCAATTTCTTTTCCTTCTTTTTTTTCCCCATTTTTCCCCATTTTTTTTCCCCCTCTTTCCCGCGGCTCCCGGCATTCCCGGAATTCCCGGAATTCCCGCGGCTCGCGGGGCGATCCCAGCCGGGAGACGTACAACGCGCTGGCGCAGTGGCTGACGGACGCCCGGACCCTGGCCAGCCCCAACATCGTCATCATCCTCTGCGGCAACAAGAAGGACCTGGAGGGCGAGCGGGAGGTGACGTTCCTGGAGGCCTCGCGCTTCGCCCAGGAGAACGGTCCGGAAAAACGGGGGGAAAAACGGGAAAAAACGGGAAAAATGGGAAAAAACGGGGGAAAAAAGGGGGAAATCGGATAAAAATGGGGTTTGGGATGATTGGGAGGTGACGTTCCTGGAGACCTCGCGCTTCGCCCAGCACGGTCCGGAAAAACGGGGGGAAAAACGGGAAAAAACGGGAAAAACAGGGAAAAAATGGGAAAAAACGGGGAAAACGGGAAAAAACGGGGAAAAAATGGGAAAAAACGGGGGAAAAAAGGGGGAAATCGGATAAAAATGGGGTTTGGGATGATCAGGAGATGACGTTCCTGGAGGCCTCGCGCTTCGCCCAGGAGAACGGTCCGGAAAACGGGGGGAAAAACGGGAAAAAACGGAAAAAATGGGAAAAAACGGGAAAAAACGGGAAAAATGGGAAAAAACGGGGAAAACGGGAAAAAACGGGGAAAAACGGGGAAAAAACGGGGGAAAAAAGGGGGAAATCGGATAAAAATGGGGTTTGGGATGATCAGGAGGTGACGTTCCTGGAGGCCTCGCGCTTCGCCCAGGAGAACGGTCCGGAAAAACGGGAAAAAACAGGAAAAAATGGGAGGGAAATGGGGAAAAAATGGGGGAAAAACAGGGAAAAATTGGGAAAAATGGGTAAAAATGGGATTTTGTGGTCATGGGATTGGGGGGAATAATTTTGGGGGGAAAATCCTGGAGGGAATAATGGGATCCCAGGGGAATTCCTGAAGAAAGTAATGGGATCCCAGGGGAATTCCGGGTGGGAATTTGGGTTGGGAATTCGGGATCCCGAGGGAATTCCCGGTGGGAACGAGGGGAATTCCCGGGAATCAGAGCTGATGTTCCTGGAGACGAGCGCGCTGACGGGCGAGAACGTGGAGGAGGCGTTCCTCAAGTGCGCCCGCACCATCCTCAACAAGATCGAATCCGGTACCCAGGGAGCGGGAGCGGGAATCGGGAATTGGGATTGGGAATCGGGATCGGGAATTGGGATCGGGAATCGGGATCGGGGATTGGGATCGGGAATCGGGATCGGGGATCGGGAATCGGGATCGGGGATCAGGAATCGGGATCAGGGATCGGGGATCGGGAATCGGGATCGGGAATCGGGAATTGGGATTGGGAATTGGGATCGGGAATCGGGATTGGGATTGGGAATTGGGATCGGGGATCGGGATTGGGATCGGGAATCGGGATCGGGGATCGGGATTGGGATCGGGAATTGGGATTGGGATCGGGAATCGGGATTGGGATCGGGAATCGGGAATTGGGATTGGGATCGGGGATCGGGATCGGGAATCGGGATCAGGAATTGGGAATCGGGATCGGGATTGGGATCGGGGATCGGGATCGGGAATTGGGATTGGGATCGGGGATCGGGATCGGGAATCGGGATTGGGAATTGGGATTGGGATCGGGATCGGGGATTGGGATCGGGAATGGGGATCAGGGATCGGGAATCGGGATCGGGGATCGGGAT